TTCTATCTGCCTCCCCCTCTCTCCCTATTTATTTCAGAATCCCCTTCCCCTCCCCCATTTCTGAAGAAGGGTCTAGACCCGAAACGTCAGCCTTCCTGCTCGTCTGATGCTGTTTGGCCTGCTGTGTTCATCCAGCTCTACACCTCGTTATCTCAGATTCTCCAGCATCTGCAGTTCCTACTATCTCTTAATGAAGTGGAACTGGAATTGTCAGTAATCAGACTCCTGTTCATTGTGTGATGAAGTAAAATTAGGATTGCTTCTTGATTGGATTTATCAAACTAGTGATTTCCTGGGTCTATTAATTCCCCAGTGATCCTCAGGTTCTGCAAATGTCCAGCAGCTTTGAAGTTATCACAGCCTGTACAGATTAAAGCAGCAGCAGAGTGGGTGAATAGATGACTGTGGGAGCTAATCAAGTGAGGTGAGTTAATAGGAATGTAACAGTAGTTAGGGACAATCCTGTCACGGTGAACATTGCTCACTGCAAACAAGAGAGTCAAGAAGGTTGCAGTGTCCCAGTTGGTCAGAGGTTAGGATTTCTGCGCTGGAGTGGAACATACTATGGGTGAGATCTTGTTGTCATGGTGCACATGAGTTGCAATGACATAGTTGAATAGAGAAGGAGATTCTACTGAAGAAATATGCATTTGCAGTTAAATTCAATAGCAGAACCTCAAAAGTAATAAGCCTTGGATTGTTACCCGAGTTATGAGCTAATGGTATGAGGTAGATAAGATCAGAGTTAAATGCGTGGTTCAGTGATTGCAGTGTGATAACTGTTTTGATTCATTGGGTGCTGGCAGCAATACGGGAGCAAACGGAAGCCATACTAATGGGACAGTCTTCACCTGAACCATGCTGGACCAAGGTTCTGGATGAATCAAATTGGCAAAGATTGCTCAGAAGATAAGTTCATAGAGTATTTTGAGGGCAATTTTATTACAGCATAATGTTCTCAAACCACCCAGAGAGAAGGTTGTTTTAGAGGTGGCAGTGTGCAATGAGACAGGACTAACTAATGACTTAATTGTAAAGGTGTCCTGAAATTGAATGACAATGATCATAACATAACCGAGTTTTGCATTCAGTTTCAGAGAGAGAAGAGTGGGTCTCAGAGAATTCTAAGGGAGGTTTTGAGGGTATGAAGACAGAGCTGGCTAAAGAAAACTGAGAAATTAGTTTATTTTTAAGTTGAGACATAGTTCAATAGAGATATTGGGGTAGACATTTTAGAGAGACTTTTCATAATCTTCAACTAAGAAACATTCCACTGGGACAGAAAAAATGTATGAAAAGGATACAACAACCTCGGATAACTAAACAAGTTTAAAAATAGCATTAAACTGAAGGGAAAGTTTTTAATTTTACAAAGATTAATGGCATTTCATTGGATTAGAAACAATATTAAAAATGAGTGAAGAATTACTAAAAGTAATGAGTGAGAAATTAGAGTTTGAGAGAAAGTTAGCTAGAAATATAAAATATAAGCTAGTAGAAGTTTCTAAGGTAAAGTTGCCATAATCCTGGTGAACTATAGAGCTGCTCTCTCATTACTGGTGGTAGTTTAACTTTAGGGTCACCACTCCTCAGGCAAAAGGAGAATTTTTCATGGTAACTTCAGCTGGTGTAAGAATTGAACCTACACTATAGGCATTACTTTGCATCACAAGCCAATAATCTAGCCAACTGACTTAAAGGTTTCTACAGGTTTTTCAAAAGGAAAAGAGTAACTAAATATAGTGTTAAAGGGTGAGTGTTGGGGAATTAATAATGGACAAGGGCAGCAGATAACATCACAGAAATAATTATAAATCATGAGAAAGAGAGGGAGACATGTAAAAGAATTATAATCACCAGGGAAAGGAGAAAATTAATCCAACTAAAAGCTGAAAATCTTTAGGTTCTGATGATTTTCATCCTAAGGTCTTAAAAGAATGACTGCTGAGATGGCAGATGCTTTGGTTTGATTTTTCTAAATTCCCTTGATGCCAAAAAAGTGTCAACAGATTGGAAAATATTAACTAAAGTTCCTCTAGACAAGAATGTGGGGAGACAATAAGCAAGAAACTAGAGACTGGTTAAACCAACATTGTTCTAAAGAAATGCTTGAACATTTTTTTAAGGAAGTTAAAGCAGGGTATTTAGAAAATCATAATGTAATTATACAGGGGCAACATGATATTTTGTCAGAGAAATCCTATTTGACTAATTTATTAGCATTCTTTGGGGCAATAACACATGCATGGTTAAAGGGAAACATATGGATATGAAGCACTTAAATTTTCAGAAGGCATTTGACAGAGTACAACAAAGTTTGCTGCATAAAGTAAGAACTCATGGTATAGGAAGGTTACCTATTAGAGAATTGGTTAGCTAACAGGAAATGGAGAATAGGCGTATGTAAGTCATCTTTGGGTTGGCAAGTTATGGAGTACCACAGGGTCATAATGATTTACAATGACTGTTCCAAATATGTGGTTGCTGTATTTGATGGCCCAAGGGCAGGTAGGAAGGCAAGTTGTGAAGAGGATGCAAGAAGTCTACACTGATATGTATACAGGTTAAATGAGGTGATAAACATTTGCCAGATGGAGTATGATGTAACTAAATGCGAACTTTTCCACTTTGACAGGTAGAATAGAAAAGCAGCATTTTTTTTTAAATAGAGAGAGAGTACAAGAAATGATAGAAAGGAAACTGAGTATATGGCATGAATCACAAAACATTGCTGTGCAGGCCCAGCAACTGATTAGGAAGGCAAATGGAATGTCGTTTATTGTAAGGGGTATGAAATGTAAAATCAAGGAAGTTTTAAAGCGGTTATACAGGGCATTGGTAAGACTATGTATTAGAGTACTCTAATACAAGTCTGGTTGCCTTATTTAAGAAAGGATATATTTGCATTCAAAGCAGTTACCAAGAAGTTAACTTGACTGAGTCCTGGGTTAAAGGTGTTATTTTATAAGGAAAGGTTGGACCTGTATCGATTGAAGAATGAGAGGTAATCTCATTGAAATGTATATGATCCTGTGGGCACTTGATAGGGTGGGTTCTGAGAGGATGTTTCCACTTGTGGGAGAGAGAAGAACTAGAAGACACAGTTTAAAAGTAAAGTATCTCCCACTTAATACAGAGACGAGAGAATTTTTTTTGGTCGGAGGGTCATGTATCTGTGGAATTCCTGTCTCCTGAGAACAGTGGAGGCATGATAATTGAATACATTTAAGGCGGACTAAGTTAAATTCTTGACTAACAAGGGGCACAAAGGTAAACAGACAGAAAAGCAGAAGCCATAAACAGATCAGCCAAGAGTTGAATGGCTTACTGCTGCTCCTAATCTGTATGTAAATCTTAGCAGGTCTGGCATATTTTAGAGAGAACCAGTTAACATTTCAAGTCCAATATATTTCTTCTTTGCAAGTGCCAATGAACAGTGCTTGTGTACCTGTAAATGAAAGGATAATGAAGGAAAGCAAAAGGGATAGTGAATTTGCTCATAGATTTGACCAGACTTCAAGCACAATTCCAATTCCAGTCATTTCTGGGATTTTCTAGCAATCTTGTAAAAATCAAAGCTACCTCCAAACCCAGGAAAAGCAAAGGTGGCAGAAGACACTGCCAAGAGCAGGGTTGCTTTCTGCCAGGAACTCTTGCTACCAGCTCTGTTGAGGTTTAACATTGTATTGCAGTTTGGAACACCAAATATGCCAAAGAAGCAGTCTAGATCCCCGAGGACTGTATGGTCTGTTTTGGAACAGAAAATCAAGATTGGAAGAGGCTCTGTGGGATTCAGGTCAGTGCCTGGGCAATGAACTCAAAGAAAATATACCCCACTCTGGATTTGTTAGTCGTGTGAATCAAAGTGGCCCAAGTACCTGGTGACACTCTGTGTACTTCTGGGGTTAAAACGTTAGAGCACTTGAGAGAAAGTATGGCTAACTATCAGGATTTCAGCCAATGAATTTCCAGAACCCATTGTCCTTTTCCCCGTGGCTGTTTCTGTTTCTGTGCACAGTCTGTGATTCTTCTATTTGTTTCTATTGTTTGCTGTAGGCATAAAGTTTTGTTTTACAAAACATTGGAGTGGAAGTACATCCTGAAAATCGTAGTGTTTTAGTTCTGCTCGTAGTTTTTGTCTATCCTCAGCTACGTGTCTTTATTTTTTCTCTCTGGTGGTGGGAGCAGAAGACTTGCAGGTAGCTGACAGTTTGAAGACCAGTAGAGGGCAGTCTAATGTCAGAGAGAAGACACATTGGGAGAGGGTCAAAGGTGTCACAGGAGGAAAATTAGATAATTTGATTTGAAGTATTGCAGTAAAAATCATTGACAAAAGAGGACACAAACTGAAGGTGGTATTTTACACTAAATAAGAGAAGAAAGCTGGTGAGAGAAAAATGGCTATCCAATCAAAAGCAGTATTGGGGTCACAGAAGGAAAAGCTAAAAATGGTCAACTGTAGGAGTGAGATTGCAGGGCTAGGTCATAGTGGACAAAGGAATGTAGGAACAGTGCATTGATGCAGCAGGTCTCAGAATATGGTATCCCGAATTGTGGAGCAAGCAGAAGATTGGGAAAGGGCTTCAACTGATACACCAAGAATTGAGGGTGTCTGCTGTTGCTCCAGCAGCTTTGGGCCTAGTTTAAGGTTGAAATACTGAAAACAGCAGCGCAAGATGGAGAAGGTGGACAAATGGTCGTGAGTAGGTAGAACTTTACCAGCTGAAGTAGCTGGAGGCCTGAATCAAGACTGTGACAGATAACTTTTGTGTAGACTTCAATGATAATTTAATCAGCTGAAACAAAAACCAGGTAAGTTAGTTGGTATATATCAGCAAAATTTTTTTCTTCTTGTAGCCGTGAAAATGCAGCTGTCTGGAATGTTGTTTTTGGTATCAACAATCTGGACCATCCATCTGAATCTACGCAGACCCGGAAGGTGAACCGGATTATCTTACACCCGCGCTATAACAGAGCATTTGTTGATTATGACATCAGTGTGGTGGAGTTACGTGAAGAAATCATCGAGACCAGCTATGTCCGACCTGTTTGCCTTCCCAGAAGAAACCAAGTAGCAGAACCAGATACATACTGCTTCATAACAGGTTGGGGGCACACAGGCAACAGAGGTAAGGAAGGCCAATGACAAAAAATACTTTGATCACATTTTAAGTTTGGAATAGTTGGTAACAGTTTGGCCAAGAATTCAACAAAATATTTAAGCCTATGACAGTGACTGAAGTAAATAAGCCAGGTGATTATTCCAAACTAACAGCACACTACTGAAAAGCTCAGAGATAGTAGGAACTGCAGATGCTGGAGAATCTGAGATAACAAGGTGTAGAGCTGGATGAACACAGCAGGCCAAGCAGCATAGCTGACGTTTCGGGCCTAGACCCTTCTTCAGAAAAATGAAGAAGGGTCTAGGCCCGAAACGTCAGCTTTCCTGCTCCTCTGATGCTGCTTGGCCTGCTGTGTTCATTCAGCTCTACACCTTGTTATCTCTACCACTGAAAAGCTACAGTGTTAAGGGTGCAATAATGGAGGCACTTCCTCCAGTGGTCCCCAGCATTACAGATACCAGTCTTCAGCCAATCAATCACTGCACGTGATATCAAGAAACGGTTGGAGACACTGGATACTGCAAAGGCTACGGGCCTCAAAAGCATTCCGGCAATAGTACTGTGGACTTGTGCTCCAGAACGTGCCACTCCCCTAGACATGATGTTCCAGTACAGTTACAACACTGGTATGTACCTGACAATGTGAAAAATTGCCCAGGTTTGTCCTGTACATAAAAAGCAGGACAAATCCAACCTGGCCAATTACTGCCCCATCAATCTACTGTCGATCATCAGTTAAGTGATGGAAGGTGTCATCAACAATGCTGTCCAGCAGCACCTGCTCAGCGACGCTCAGTTTGTGTTCCAGCAGGGCCACAGTTCCTGACCTCGTTACAACTTTGGTTCAAACATGGACAAAAGAGCTGAATTCCAGAGGTGAGGTGAGAGTGACAGCCTTTGACATCAAGGCTGCATTTGACCAAGTGTGGCATCAAGGAGCCCCAGCAAAATTATAATCAATGCATATCTGGGGCAAACTTTCTGCTGGTTGGAGTCATACCTTGCACACTGGAAGATGGTGGTGGTTGTTGGAAGTCAGTCATTTCGGCTCCAGGACATCTGTGTAGGAGTTCCTCGGGGTAGTGTCCTAGGCCCAACCATTTTCAGCTGCTTCATCAATGACCTTCCCTCCATCATAAGGTCAGAAGTGGGGATGTTCGCTGATGTTTGCACAATGTTCAGCACCATTTGAGACTCCTCAGATACTGAAGCAGTCATTGTTCAAATGCAACAAGATCTGGATAATATCCAGGCTTGGGCTGACAAGTGGCATTCGTGCCACACAAATGCCAGGCTATGACCATCACCAATAAGAGACAATCTAACCACCACCCCTTGACATTCAATAGTGTTACCATCATTGAATTCCTCACTATCAACATCCTGGGGGTTATCATTAGCCAGAGATTCAACTGGGCTTGCCACGTAAACACAATGGCTACAAGAGCAGGTCAGAGACGAGTAACACAGCTCCTGACTCACCTAAGCGTGTCCATCAACTACAAGGCACAAGTCAGGAGTATGATGGAATACGCCGCACTTGCCTGGATCAGTGCAACTCAAACAACACTCCAGAAGCTTGACACCATGCAGCCTGCTTGTTTGGCACTCATCCACAAGCATCCACTCCCTCCACCACTGATGCTCTGTAGCAGCAATGTGTGCAATCTACAAGATACACTGCAGAAGTTCACCAAACTCCTCAGATAGTGCCTTGCAAACACACAACCATTTCCATCTAGAAGGACAAGAGTAGTAGATATATGGAAACACTACCACCTTCAAGTTACCCTCCAAGCCACTCACCATCCTGACTTGGAATACATCTCAGTGTTTCTTCACTGTTGCTGGGTCAAAATCCTGGAATTCCCTCCCCAATGGCATTGTGAGTCAACCCACAGCAGTGGACTGCAGCGGTTCAAGTCGGCAGCTCATCTTCTGAAGGGCAACTAGAGATGGGGAACAAATACTGGCCAGCCAACGAAGCACACATCCCCCCCCCGCAAAATGAATAAAAACAAAAATTACAGTCACATTCCAGATTACATTCTAGATTAACCACTGGAACTTAAATTTGGTCATGGCAGGATTTGAGCTCATAGCCTCTAATTATTAGCCTTGACCTCTGGATTCTCAGACTGCAAAAAGGCAGCAAAACCAAAACAAAAGTATTTGGAAATGTTCATACAGGAGCTTCATTTTTGAAGTATGGAAGACATGTTGGACCAGTATGTGTCTTCTACAAGTCTTACTTTTTTTTTCCTCTGGGTTACCCATGGGGACATTTCTACTACATCGCCAACTCCCCACCATTTCAGTGGCTGAGATTTGAGATGTCCCAGCCATTCAATTAACCTAGAAATTAACTAAATATTGCTGTTTGAGAAAAGGTTATAAAACACCAGCCTTTTCTTTTCTTCATTCATGCAATCTGTTATTTTTGGCTGGGCTAGAATTTATTGCCAATCATGGAGTTGCCCTTGAGAAGCTGGTGGTGAACTGCCACAGTCTATGTGCTGTGTTAGCAGACCAGAATGCTGTTAGTGAGGGAATTCCAGGATTTTGACCCAGTGACAGTGAAGGAATGGTGATACTTCCAAGCTTGGAGTGAAACCTGCAGGTAGTAATGGTGCTCCTGTGTATCTGCTACTCATTCTTTTGATGGTAATAGTCACGGGTTTGGAAAGGGCAGTCGAAGAAGCCTTGGTGAATTTCTACAGTGCATCTTGTAGATAGTACACACTGCTGAAGGAAGTGAATGCTTGTGCATGTGGTGCCAGTCAAGCCCATGCTGTCCTCTATATTGACTACAACTGACTTTGGTGTCATCTGCAAATGTAAAATTTGTGTTTTGATTTCCAAGTAAATCATTATTATAAATAGTGAACAAGAATGGAATCAGCACTTTCTACCCTTGATTCCCCACTCTATTTCGAAGCCTCTCAACAATTCCTTCTATCACCTGTCCTCTAACTTGTAGTTCTGACCTTATTCATTAGTCCATTATGGGACAGCTTATCAAAGGCCTTTTGAAAATCTAGATAAATTATTTCTATTATATTACCTTTGTCTATTCTGTCTGTTACCACCTCAAAAATATTGATATGTTTGGTACAGCAAGATTTTCCTCATTGAAATACATACTGACTGTTCATTGTTACATTTCTCATTTCTGGATGCTTTTCTGTTCCATCCTTTTGCTAAAGATTTAATTATTGACCCCATTACTGATGTTAAGCTGACTGATCTATAATTCCAGTTCTTAAAAATACATCATTGTCATAACTTTCAAGTACTTTGGATTGGATTCTCTATTGAAGAATAGAATAATTAATAAGGTCAGAAAATGTAGGAACTGGGGGAGAAGTGGATTGCTGACTGATTGTGAAATAGAAAGCAGAGAGTGGGAATAAAAAGTAGCTATTCCATATTGATATTCTTCCATCATGTCCAATTCGTGCAGGATTTAGAAGTTAGTTAAATATGAAAGATTTTCAAGTTATCAAGTCAATTATTGAATGTCTCACTGAAGAAAAACTGAAATATTTGTCTTGAGGTACAGAAATATACAGTTTTCCGTTACAGAAAACCAATTCCTTTAAATGAGATAGTATGACAAACGTACTTCTGATTTCTATGAGCTCATTATGTATCCTGAGTTAAGATCATTGCATTTTATACTTCCTGAGCAGAGCCTGTTTGAAATAATGGGGTATGGTTTCTAGTAGGATTTTCCTGATCTCACAACTTCCAAGACATCCTGGAGAAATAGTGTTTTCTGGTGTCTTTCCTGAGTCATGGAGACATACAGCATGGAAATTGGCCATTCACCTCATCCCATGCATATCAACCAGGTTTCCTAAACTGAACTAATTCTACTTTCCTGATTTTGAACCATATCTCTCAACCTTTCCTATCCACATACCTGCCTAATTATCTTTTAAATGTTGTAGTTGTACCCACCTCTACTATTTCCTCTGGTAGCTCGTTCCATATATGTACCACCCCTCTATGTGAAAAAGTTGCCCCTCAGGTCCCTTTTAATCTTATCTGTTTCATCCTAAACCCTTGCTGTCCAGTTTTGGATTCCCCTACCCTGGGGAAAAGACCTCAGCTATTCACCTTATCAATGCCCGTGGTGATTTTATAAATCTTTATAAGGTCACCTATCAGTCTTCTAGCTCCAGGTTTAAAAAAAAAAGTCCCAGCCTGTCCAAACTGTCTTTATAACTCAAAGATGTATAACTTATATAACTTCTATAACTTGCAGTCTCGGTGACATCCTTATAAATCTTTTCTGCACCTTTACCAGTTTAATAACATCCTTCCTACAGCAGGGTGACCAGAATTGTACACAGTACTCCAAATGTAGCTGTACCATACGGTCATACAGCACAAAAACAGACCCTCTGTCCAACCAGTCCATGCTGAATGTAATCTTAAACTAAACTAGTTCCACCTGCCTGCCCTTGGCCCATTCCCTTCCAAACCGTTCCTATTCATATATCTATTCAAATATCTTTTAAACGTTGTAATTATAGCCACATCCACCACTTCCTCAGGAAGCTCATTCCACATGTGAACCACCCTCTGTAAGAAATTTGCCTCTTATGTCTTTTTAAAATCTCTCTTCTCACCTTAAAAATGTGCCCCCTAGTCTTGAAATTCCCCATCTTGGGGAAAAGACAACTACCATCGACTCTATCTATACTTCTCATTATTTTATAAACTTCTATCAGGTCACCTCTCAACCTCCTACGCTCGAGCAAGAAAAGTTCCAGCCGATCCAGCTTTTCTTTATAATTCAAACCTTGTACAGGCGTAATATGACGTCCCAAAATCTGTACTCAAATCTCTGACCAATGAAGGCCTGCATGCCAAATGCCTTCATCATCCTGTCTAACTATGACACCACTTTGAAGCAGCTATATACCTGCACCCCTAGGTCTCTCTGTTCAACAACGCTCCCTAGGACCCTACCATTAACTGTGTAGGTCCTGCTCAGGGTTTGCCTTATCAAAATGCAACACCTCATATTTATCTAAATTAAACTACATCTGCCATTCTTCGGCCCACTGGCTCAGTTGGTAAAGATCCCATTGTACTCTGAGATAACCTTCATCACTGTTTACTATACCATCAATTTTAGCATTATCCATAAACTTACCAACCATGCCTCCTATATTCCCATCCAAATACTTTATATAAATGACAAACAACAACAGTGGAGTACACTCCTGGTCACAGGCCTCCAGACTGCCTCCAGAGTTAGAGGAGAACCTCATGAAGTTCCAAGAGAAACTCTGTTGCAATATGTCAGAAAAGCTATGGCTCTTTTAACTACATATTTAAGTACTATTTTGCAGATAATTTATACTATACTTTAAATGTGGGCATTGAACACTTTCAACACTTGTGGCCAGAGTTTACATGCAGAGTAAAATTCACATCTTATACCACGTACGTCATACCACAATCCATTGTACATTGAGTTATGGTAACAAGATATCAATCTTAACGTTCTCTCAATTTTCATTCCAGTTCCATTCAAACTACAAGAAGGAGAAGTCCGCATTCTGTCACTTGATCGTTGCCAGTCATACTTCGACACTAAAACAATTACTTCACGAATGTTATGTGCAGGCAATGAACCTGGATCAGTGGACTCTTGCATGGTAAGTGTTGAAGGGAGGTTGTATTAGGTTTAGAATAGTCATAACAGGAAATACTTCCAACTTGCACACAATATTTAGATGGGCCCCTGGCATATGAAAACACACAAGTGCTGAGTTGTGTGAAAATGATTTAGCCTCATTAACGGCACGCAGGGTCAATCAAGCCAGGGAGGGGGTGGGGGAGAGAAGTCGTATTAGGTGCTTCGGAAATTAATTAAGTTTTGAGAAGTCCTCCACTTTTGCATTTTCTTTTCTTGCCAAACCTTTGTTTTGCTTTCAGTGAGATTCAAATCGGAAGCAGCAAAGAGGTGAGCAGGTGTATTCTGAAAATGCTGCTTAATGGGGATCAAGAAAACAATTAGTGAGCTGTCCAATTCAGCAATCTCAGTAGCATATGTTTGCATTAGTCATTGTTTCAAGACTTGTGATTATAGCATCATTCAGATGTGAGGCAGGTCAAGACTAGTCTAAAATGTGAGACCTTCAGGATTGGCAAAGGTTTACATTCAATAAATATCAAATGGTGCATAAGCACAAAAGTATACTTTGTACATCAGTGGGTACTTTCCTGAAAGTTGTTGTGTTGCCTTCATTATAAAGATATCTATAGCAAGAAACATTGCAGAAGGAGGTCAAATCAGCCTTTCATGCTCCTGCTAGACTAATTCACAACTAATGCACTCTTTATTTCCTTCCTGTAGCTTTGTATCATCATCTACTTCAATATTTTTATCTATTTTTAAGCTACCAATACATAATGGTATCTGCCTCTGCAACTTCTGTAAACTAGTATAAAAATATTTTATAGAACGTCCACAAAGGAGAACCAAATTGAAATTGCTGCCCCCCCCACCACCAACCTTGTCACTGACTCCACAACCAGATGAGAGAGGTTTTCTCCATTCACACTTTCTTTGTTTCTGGCTGGCAAGTGGCCTTTTCAGTTGTGAGGATGAAGAATGAGAAAACATGAATTGATACTGAGCATTGAGGTAACTGTAGTTGGGAGAAGGGTTTTGTTGTGAAAGGGCAGATTGATAATTTGAAAGACTGTTTAGAGATTCTGGCATGTGGGGAGCAGGTGCAAAAGTAGCTTTTACATCTATTTAGAGATAACACAGTGTGGAGCTGGAAGAGCACAGCTGGCCAGACAGAATCAGAGGAGCAGGCAAGTTGACGTTTTGGGTCAGGACCCTTCTTCAGAAATGGGGGAGGGGGAAGGGAGCTCCAAAATAAAGAGAGAGGGGAGCGGTGGTTTCGGAGCTCCCTTCCCCCTTCCCCATTTCTGAAGAAGGGTCCCGACCCAAACCGTCAATTTTCCTGCTCCTTTGATGCTGCCTGGCCTGCTGTGCCCCTCCAGCTCCACACTGTGTTATATCTGACTCCAGCATTGCGGTCCTTTTGTCTCGGAATGAGTTTTACATCTATTTGTTAGGTTTGACTGATTCACCAATGTACGTGAATAATAATGAAGCTATCCTGGCAACAACATGTGCTGCTGGTGGTAGATTGCTCTCTTCACCTTTTTACCCCTTCTCCTCCTCATTATCATCATCATCTATCCTCTTTTGTCTTGTTTCTTGTGAAAGCCCAAATCTCATTGCAGTGGAGCTCTGTACCGAGCATTACCACATACAACTATTAAGACCATAAGAAATAAGAACAGGAGGCAGCCATTTGGCCCATCGAGCCTGCTCCAACATTCAATAGGATCATGGCTTATCCGACATTCCTCACAACTACTTTTCTGTGTTTTCCCCAAAGCCCTTGATTTTCCGGCTGATCGAGAATCTATCTATCTCAGCCTTAAATATGCACATGGGCTCTGCCCCTACAGCTCTCTGTGGCAAGTAGTTCCAAAGACTTTCAACCCTCAGAAGAAATTCTTCCTCATCTCAGTTTTAGATTGGCATCCCTTTATTCTGAGACTATGCCCTCTGGTCTCAGACTCTCCCGTGAGGGGTAACATCCTCTCAGCGTTTACCCTGTCAAGCCCCTTAAGAATCCTCTGTTTCAATGAGATCACCTCTCATTCTTCTAAACTCCAGCATGTACAGTTCCAACCTGATTAGCCTTTGGTTATAAGAAAGGAGTCCTCCTAGTGAACCTTTTCTAAACTGCCTCCAATGAAATGACATCTTAAATAAGTGGACAAAAACTGCTCCGAGCTCTCCAGACGTGGTCTCACTAGCACCTTGTACAGTTACAGTAAGACTTCTGTACTCTTATACCTTAACCCCTTGAATTAGGGCCGATGTCCTATTAGCCTTTCTGATTACCTACTTAACCTGTATGCTAGGTTTATGCATTTCAAGTACTCTAAAGTCTCTTTATTTTGCAGTTTTGTTCATTTTTATCTTCACTTAAATAATATTATGTTCTTTTGTTTTCCCACTTGATACTCCATTTGCTAATTATTTTGCCTCTTAGTTAACCTATCAATATCTCTCTGTAAACTATATGTATCCCTCTCACAACCTGCTTTTCCACCTATTTTTTGTGTATTCTGCAAATTTGTCTACAGTACATTCATTTCCTTCCTCCAGGATATTAATATATATTGTAAACAGTTGTGAACCCAGCACTGATCACTGTGGAACCCTACTGGTCATGAGGCATCAAGCCGAAAAAGAATCCTTAATCCCCACTCGTCGTTTCCTGCCAATGAGCCAATTCTCTATCCATGCCAATATACTACCTGCAACACATGGGCTCTTATCTTATGGGTTAACTTTTTGTGAGGTATTTTGTTGAATGCCTTCTGGAAGTTCAAATACATTACATCTACTGATTCCCTTCTATCCATTCTGGTTGAGACTTCTTCTTGAAAACTCTAAAAAATTAATCAGACACATTTCCCTTTCATGAAGCCATGGCTCTGCTTCATTACATTATATAAAGGAAGCAAGAGGTCAAAATGAACATAAGCCCCTTATAAAATAAATATGAGGGAGACAGTTTTGGGGAACAAGAAAATGGCAGAGGAGTTAAACAGGTATTTTGCATTCGTCTTTAAGGTGAAAAATATTTTGAGCATCCCATTAATACCGAAGAATATGAGGAAGAAATTAAGTATCATTGCTATCATAAAAGAATTAGTATTAAACAAACCAATGATGCTGAATGCGGCTAAGTCCCCTGGCCCTGATGGCTTGCATCCTAATATCCTAGAAAAGGTAGTTACAGAGATAGTGGATACATGGTTGTATTTTTCCAAAAATCATAGGAAGTAGGAGCAGGAGTGGGCAATTCAGCCCTCTGAGCCTGCTCTGCCATTTAACATGATCATGGCTGAAGTTTTCCTGGTCTCAACTCCACTTTCTTGCCTTCTCCCCATAGCCCTTTATCCTGCTTTTCATCAGAAACATATCTATATCTTTCTTGAATCTGTTGATTGATTCTGCCTCCACTGCACTCTGGGGCAGTGAGTTTTACAGATTCACAGCCCTCTGAGAGAAGTAGTTTCTCTTCATCACAGTTTTGAACCTACCACCTCTCATTCTATATCTATGACCTCTTGTTTGAGACTGTTACACAAGGCAGAGGAACATGTGTTCAACGTCCACATTATCAACCCCGTTTAGCATTTTATATATACCTCAGTCAGATCTGTCCTCATTCTTCTAAACTCCAGTGAGCAGAAGCCCAAGCTATTCAACTGTTCCTTGCTCGACGGCCCTTTCATCCTTGGAATCAATCTGGTGTACCTCTGCTGAACTGCCTCCAGTGCCACTACATCATTCCTCAAGTAAGGAGACCAAAACTGGGCAAAATATTCCAGAAGTGGTCTCACCAATGCCTTATATAATTGTAACAACATATCTTTACTATTGCAATAAATGCCAGGATTTCATTTGCCTTTCTTATTATACCCACTTTTTGCAATTCATGCACAAAGATGCCCAGATTCCTGAGAACTGACACACTTTGAATCTGCTTCCCATTTAAATAATTATTTGCCTTTTATTTTTCCGGCCAAAATGGACAACCTTGCACTAATCCACATTAAACTCCACCTATAAGATTCTGGCCCATTCTCCTAGCCTATCGATATCCATTTGTGAACATTTTATCTCCTCATCACCACCTGGTTTCCTACCTATTTTAGTATCATCTGCGAACTTTGCTATGTTACACTCCGACCCTACTTACAGATTACTTATATAGATCATAAATTTTTGAGGTCTGAGAACTGAACCCTGCAGCACCCCAGTAGTTACAGTTCTTCACCCAGAGAAGGACCTGTTTATCCTGACCCTCTGCTTTCTGTCAGTCAGCCAATCCTCTATCCAAAGCAATATCTACCCTCTAGGCCAATACTTAACCCCTGGGATCCAACCTGCTGGATCAGTCTTTTATGCGGCACCTTGTCAAATGCCTTCTGGAAGTCTAGATATACTACATCCACCGGATCCCCATTATCTACCTTGTTGGTTACATCTTCAAAGAACTCCAGCAAGTTTGTCAAGCACAACTTGCCCTTCAGGAAATCGTGCTGACATTGGTGAATTGAGCTTTGTTTTTCCAAGTGTTCAGTTATCTCCTCCACTATGATTGACTCCAGCAGCTTGACCACTACAAAGGTCAAACTAACTGGTCTGTAGTTATCCATACTTTGCCTATCTCCTTTTTTAAATGAGGGTGTCACATTGGCATGTTTCTAATCCACTGCTACATTTCCAGAATCCAGGGAATTTTGGAAAATCATAACTAATGTATCTACTATCTCTGCTGCTACCTTGTGTAATACCCTAAGGTGCAAGTCATCAGGCCCTGGGGACTATCTGTTTTTAATCTCATCAGTTTACTTAATACTTTCTCCCTAGTTACAGTAATTTCACCAAATTCCTTTGAAGTAACTGCAGTTTTTGGGAAAAAATTATTGTTTCACAGTAGAAAAGAGAGCCAACATATTGGCTTATTGCCTCGGCCATTTCTGAGATTCCCATTTATTTCCAAAAACTGTAAGAGGTAATAATTATTATCTTTCGCTGTGAAACAGAGACAAAGTATTGGTTTAGTGCCTCTGACATCCTTGGATTCTGGAGATGTACTAGAGGATTGGAAAACTGCAAATGTGACAACCCTATTCAGAAAGGGAGGTAAAACAGCAGGTAATTATATGCTGATTCGCCTAACATGTATTGTTAGAAAAGTATGGGAATCAATAATTAAGGAAGTGATAGCAGAATGTTTGGACAATCATAATCTAATCAAGCAGAGTCAGCATGGCTTCACGAAAGGTAAAGCACATCTAACTAACTTACTAGAGGCTTTTTGAGGCAGTATCAATTGGAGTGGATAGAAGGGAACCTGTGGATGTGTTGTATTTGTACTTCCAGAAGATGTTCAACAAGGTACCTCACAAAAGGTTACTTCGTAAGAATCCACTGTGCTAGAGGTAGTATATAACTAGAGGCATGGATAGAGAACTGGCTCCAGCAAATGGAAATACGAGGTTCTTTCTTAGGTTGTTGACCATAACTAGTGGGGTTCCACAGCGATCAGTACTGGGACCACAACTGTTTACAATATGTATGAATAACTTGGAGAAATGAAGTACTATAGGCTGATTTGCAGACAACACAAAAATTGGTGGAAAGCAGGTCGTGACAGGACTACAAACAGGTTACAGAAAGATATTGAGTTAAGTGGTTAGGTTAAGTGCACAAGCAGTGGGCAATGAGTATAAAATGGGAAAATGTGAAGATGTTCATTTTGGAAGAGAGAAAAGAAGAACAGTAATATTTGAATAGCGATAAACTCCAGAAAGCTACAACACAAAGGTATTGGGAAGTACGCTTACATGAAACACAGAAAGCTAGTACACAGGTGTGGTAGGTAATCAGGAAGGCTAACGGAATGTTGGCCCTTATTTCAACAGATTTGAAGCACAAGGGTAAAGAAGTATTACTGCAAATGAACAAGGTGCTGATGAGACCACATTTGGAGTAATGAGAGCAGTTTTGGACCCCTTATTTAAGGAAAAATATCATTTCATTGTAGGCAGTTCAGAGAAGTTCACTGGGATGATTCCTGTTGTGAAGGGATTGTCTTTTGCGCAAAGACTAAACATGTTGGGCTCTACTCACTGGAGTTTACAAGAATGAGATGTGATCTCATTGAATCATATAGGATTCATAAGCAGCTTCAAAGGATAAATGCTGAGAGGATATTTCCCCTCACAGGGTGTCTAGGATCATAAAGCCTAGTCTCAGAATAAGTGTGCCAATTTAAGACTGAAATGAGGAAGAATTTCTTGAGTGCGTCTTTGGAACATATTGCCACAGACAGCTAGGGTGCAGTGTCGTTTATATTTAAGGCTGAGATAAATAGATCCTCAACAGCAAGGGAATCAAGGATTACAGGGAATAGGCAAAAATGTAAATGGCAGTAATATCAGAATAGCCTTGATTCTATTGAATAGCAGAGGCAGCTCAAAGGGTCAAATGGCCTACTTCCTGTTTCTATTTCTTACGGTCTTATACAAGTCAAGTGTTGGAAAGTGAGATTAGGTTATATAAGTGCATGATGATCAATATGACATGATGTGCTAAAGAACCTCTTTCTACGCTGTAAAACTAATGGAGTTCTAGAGTTTTAAGTTTAATGCTATTAGAATTGTTTAAACTAAATAAAGTGAAAGTGTTTTTGTTTGCCCAAAATATTAAATTTCACTGCCATTATTGTCTCTGATCATCAGGGTGACAGTGGAGGACCTTTGGTTTGTGAACAACCTGGCAAGAAATGGACATTATTTGGTTTAACCTCTTGGGGATCAGTGTGCTTCACAAAACTCCTTGGACCTGGTGTTTACAGCAATGTGACTCATTTTGTTGAATGGATTGAGAGACAGATTTACATCCATACATTTTTGTAAATGTATCAAATGCCAGGGAACAGCATCAGAATCAAAACCTCAAATAGCAAGAAGTAAAATGTGGCAGCTGGCAAAGACTACAAAATTATCTACTTGATCATTCCCCTTAAGAAGCACCACACCTCCCATCCCCATTCAATGAGTCTTCAAAAATCTCATTCATAAGGAATAAATACACCAAACTGCTCTCAAGGTGATGATTTCAAATCTTTGGATTGTTATGGGGACTAATTACTGTTAAAATGTCACTAAATGACTTCCATATTTCTGAGAAATGTTTATCCTATTACATAATGCACCAATCAACTACTGCTCCCTTTTGAAATTTGCAGCACATCTATTCCAAAGTTGTACTAGCATGGTAAGACATGACTAGATTCTTCTGTAAAGTGAGGTCAGCATTGGCTTTTAAGACGGTTTGTGCAGAGGATTTTTTGCTACCTCTAACTTGAGTATTTGAGAAAGCTGCTTCTGCATTCTTCATGATACTGCCCACACTGAGGATGCTGATGAGAGAAGAAATTATTTCACATTTTACGTAACTATTTATAGGTTGGGTTTGTCTTGCATCAGTGTGTAACTGCGTGCCAAATGTATTGAAGTTCTAGATTCATTTCTAGATGATACTAGCCTAAAGTTTTTCTTAAAAGTATTGTACACAGTTACCAAGGAATAATTATAATAGGTTGACATTAAATGCAGTCAGTATCATATACTGATTCTTCAACTGGAATACTTGTTAAAAAGAAATTATTGCTAGCATTAGGCATCTTCTTCCCTAAAAGATTTACTTGCCAACTTATGTGGTTTAGGAAACAAAAGTGTTTAATTGTGGGCTAATATAATGAATGCATTTATAAGAAATGAGAAGGATTTGATTTTGTAGCATTGAACAGAGTGATCATATATTACAGCTACCTTGAACTAATGCTACATACGTAAAAGTTCTATTCAGTTTTAAAGTGGGAAGCAACTATCCAAAAACTGACTGAAGTGCACTTCTCTTGAATGCATGCTCTAATTTCATTACCACGTAACTGACCAAGAGAAGAATTATCTTGTGTCTTTTAATGAAATTTGAATGAAAAACAGATTTGAGCATTCTGTACACTGGGCCATTGGTCTAGATCTAAGTATGGACTTTGTTCATTACATTAGCATTTTGAAACACCAACATCCATTGACCTTTGAGTGTCTCACTGTTTTTAGTGTTAAGGATTTCCCATCATGTATGTCGTGAATTTTCCTTCAATAAGGACTGCTCACATTTGGAAATCAGTTTAGATGCTATGTTTTTCAGTAACAAGAATGAATTAAATTGGAGACTTATCACTTTTTAAAATCCCAGGCCTCTCTTTCTGTAATGTCAATATTCATCAAATGTGAAGTGAGTAAATTGAACTCTGTTCCTGTTTTACTTTTTCTAAGCTACTGTAAGTGGTAATATTACTTATTACCACTTTTCAAACTAAAAATACTCTTATGCCAAAGTTTTGTTTCAGCTCGCTTTGTATTTACATTGGGTTTTTGTGTGGCAGCTTGCTATTCAAGTTTGAGAATAAATATTACACTGTGACAGCATTATACTTTTGACAAGTGCCATGTACTTTGTTCCTGTAGCATTTCTAAACAAAGACATTTGAGAAATGTCTGCAATATTCAGTGTAACATTCCATGTAAAGATTATACAATGCTTGTAATTTTATAAAATATTTTTATATTGCTTTTTTCTAAATGTGCAGATTTCAACTTTAAACAGATTGGGTGTTTGCACTTTGTGATGTTGTAAATGACAATCAAAAAGCAAACTGCTGGTTACCAGTTGTGTAAATTGAAGACATGGGCTTACAGCACAAGCTTGCTCTATTGACAGCACCAATTCAAATCAAGACACACAAATTTTAGCCTCATTCCAAATGTCAAAACATTATCTAGGAACCCTTATTAATGACTTTAGTAGATTAAGGTCTAAATATTCAGTCTGCCTTTGTGATCCTCCAATGTAATTTACTGCTTGACTTGAAGTTTCTATCACTTAACTAGTCATTCATAACACTATTTTGTTCATCATATTACTGACTCCTTTGTTAAGCAGGGTTTGGAAACTGAAGAAGCAAACTTATGCAATCACACACATAAGCCCTTACATAGAGACAATTAAATCTTCTGGATAAGGTCAGAAAGTCCTAAAACAAAGTTTTGTCTCATGACTAAAAGATGGTTGAAACAAGTGGCCATAAATATAGTTTGAACATTAACTGGATGGCAGTGCAGCTTTACTTTAATGGCCATAATTTATAGCCTAGTAGCATGGGATGTGATCCACTAAATTAAATTAACAATAGGTGGTTGAAAAGAAGATCATATCTGATCAGTTCTTTCTTTTAACAAGAGGTCTTTTGGCTTCAAAGTTTTGACACAGCTATTATAGTGCTGCCAATGCAAAAATTTCTGGATTTTTGTTTTATTTGTTCCTGCAATGTGGGCATTGCTGGCTTGGCCAGCATTTATTGCTCATTCCTAATTCTTCTTGATCTGAGTGGCTTGCTGAGGACGTTTCAGAGGCAACTACATTGCTGTGTGTCTGGACCTGCATTTAGGCCAGACCAGGAAAGGATGGCAGATTTCATTCCCTAAAGGAAAGTTGTGTTTATACAGCAATGATTATAAATTCATCATCAGGCTACCATTTAATTCCATTTTTAAAAATTGTTTCATCATCTGCCATGACAGAATGCAAATTTATCTTGAGCATTAGCCTGGGGCTCTGGATTACTAGTCTAGTGACATTAAAGCTACACAACAGTCTCTCCAATTTCTTTCTTATTTTTGCTAGATTCGTTCAAGTGCCCACTGATGGGTGTGATAAACTCTGCCTTCACAGAAACAATAATGTGCATAAGGACATTTGGTCTATTGTGCCTGCCTTGAAAATTCTTCCCATTGCTCCAAAGTTTGTTTACATTTCACTGTATTACTTGTACAAATTTAAATTTAAAGACTGTTTTATTGTAACTCTAAACAGAAATAGAGCGATGTAATTTATTTGTAAGTCTTATAGTTTGCAGTTGATTGCTGGAGAAAAGGGAACAGTTGTTTTAGTTCTATATTGTGTTGTAATTTGTCTTTATATTTAATGTCACCATGCTTAAGAGTAACAGAATGGTTATCGCACAATGAGAGACCATTCAGTCTGTTGTATCTATGCAAATTCTAAGAGTTAGTCCCACACCCCTGCCTCTTCCTGCAAGCCGTCCAAATGTTTTTCAAGATAATTAACCAATTCCTTTTAGAAAGCCACAACTGAATTTCCCATACACTAGCATTCCAGATACTACCATTTACTACAAATGAACATTTTCTCTCATGTTGCTGTTGATTTCTTTTGCTAATCACTTTGTGGCTTGTGTCTTCTGATTTCAGTCCTTCTAATGGGAACATTCTTCCTTGTCTACTGTATCTATACCCCTCACGATTTAGAGCACCACTGTCGAAGTTCCTCCCTTTTTCTGCGAAAAACAAATGTTGCCCTGCAGACATCTTCAGTAAAGGCTCAGCCACTCTCCTCACAAGCATTTACAACAGCAAACTACCTGTCCCCTTTCCCCTGAGCTAAGATAGGGTACAGAAATACGATTTCTCACTTGCAAATCAGTTTTTGTTAAAGGATCTAGTGTTTGAGTCAAAATTACAAGTGTAATCACAATATGTAAATATAAGGAAAAGCTACAAGCACCAAAATGATGGAAGGTTCACCACATTTGCAATAAGACAAGACTTGGTTAAAGCTTAGGCTAAACAGCATTTGTCAGCACTGGATGTATTTTTTCTTAAATATTGATGGATTGTTCCATAGATCCAGTATTTTATTTTACTTCAGATTTCTGTCATATCCAGTTTTCTCCCCCTATTATGTGAAGCTGTGGCCTCACTGTACTTTAATGTGTAAAAATTAATAAAAATACCTTAACAATGATTCATGTTTGCTTACTTTAGCACTCTAAAATAATACACTTCAGGACAAAATTGAGGAATAAAAATTTTCTAAACTAAAGACAGCTCTTTATGTTTTTCAGGTGGTATGTAATGATTTGCTTACAAAAAAAAAGCAATCCTAATATCATCTTATTAACATCACAGTAAAATGAACCAAACTTCATCATTTGATAATGCAAATAAAGACTTGGATTCAATTATTGCCTTTCACAACTTCAGGACTTCTCAAAGTACTTCCTACTGAGCCAATGACTTCTAGCGTTAAGTAGATTTAAAGGGCACTGTTTTCATGAAAATGTGGGAACCTGTTTTTATTTGGAAGGAAAGAAATCAGACTTCATATTTTTAATCTCCACATTACACACTAAATAATATAATCTGGCCTATTAGCCCCTCAGTGTAGTTGACAATAACCTGCTGTTGCACCAGTATCAAAATAATGTTGGGAAACTACACTCACACCTTCTCAGTCCATCATAATTTCTGATGAAAGGTCCCGACCCAAAACGTCAGCTTTCCTGCTCCTCTGATGCTGCCTGGCCTGCTGTGTTCCTCCAGCTCCACGCTATGTTATCTCTGACTCCAGCATCGGCAGTTCTTACTATCTCCATTCAGAAATCTGTACTTGTTTTAAAATATGCTGTTGAATATTGATTACAGTCCTGTAAAGTCAAATACACTTCAATAATTAATTTGTGGAAATTAATGTGCATTTTAACAGCAATCTGAATATTGAATCCGACAAAGCTTTAGACATACAATTGATTTATAGCATAAAACAGTATAATTATAGAACATCTTATTCAAAGTGATAACCAAATCATCATTGAAATTCAAGAATCATACATCAATGATAAAATCTCAGTACCAATTAGCAAAATTGATGGACGAAAACAAATGCTAGAAACAATAATTAGAACAAAAGAAACATCTTTGTATGTGCTTGTCTGGGGCAAAAAGTGGAGGAATACATCATATTTTATGGAGTACAAAGAATGCTATTCAAATAGTGAGAGAAAGAATGAGAATATCTTAACATGCTGATTCAGGATGATAAGTTGATATACTTGAAATTTAAGTGATTTAAGTCTCAATAGGATAAAAATAAATGGGATCTGGTGGTAATTGCTTCTGCTTTATCAGTTTTGGACATTTATTGTAAATAGATTTGACTCAAAACATTTTGGCTTTAAAACAGGAACAAAATTGCAGACATTTTGAAGAGTACAGAAGCCATTATAAAGACCTTTTTTTATTTTTGTACTTTTTAAAATTGTTTTAAAACCAGTATTTTAAATGATTGCTACACATTTTGAAAGGACTGACACTTAGACAAGCATTGTGTAAATAGCTGTTTGACCAAGTAGTAATTGAAATGTTGTGAACAAACAGGAGCAAGGGATACAGATGCAGGTGGGTGGCAACAGGAAATTGATTGTTCTATGGACGAGTGACCAATTGCTGACGACAAAAACCTTTTGGCCTGACCACAACTTTGTGTTTGGCTTTCAGGTAACAACAGCTTGGAATTGGAACAAGATAGGGGGAGGTGGTTTGATCTCCACTAGCACAGGAGTTGTCTATCTATTCTCTCATAAAACAATTTTAAATCCGAAAAGAAAATTCACCTTTCCTTCAGCAGTTGTTGTAAGCTATGGTATTTAACAGATACATTAGAAACCTTATATAAGTGAACCTCGTGTCGTTTGCAAACCAGTGGAAGAATCTGAAGAAAGGTGACTGAAAAGAAACATTCTGATCGGTGTTTACCTTCGGATACAGTCTAATTACTTGCAACAAATTGTAATTCTTGTTGAGCTCAGAAACCTGATCTGTATTTTTTGTCAACCTGGCTCTGCAAATCAGGCAATTTGGGGAATTTTGTGCACTTATTTTAAAATCTTAAACTTTTGTGACAACTCTGGGAATAGTGGAGCTAGATTTCGAGTCAACTACACCAGTGAGTTGTAACATCACAATAGAAGGGGTCTGTTCTGCAGGTGGCTTTTGGAATCCTACAAAGGAGGATTGTCTGTATCCTCCGGAGTTTAGAAGAGTCAGAGGTGACTTAACTGAAACATATGAGATCCTGAGGGGACTTCACTGGGTGGATGTTGAAAGGATGTTTCCTATTGTGGGAGAATCTAGAACTAGGCGTCATAGTTTAAAAATAAGGGGTTACCCATTTAAAACCGATATGAGGAAACTTTTTTTTTTCCCTTAGGGAATTGAGTCTTGGGAATTCTCTTTCTTAAAAAGCAGTGGATGCCATAATCATTAAATATTTTTAAGGGAGAGATAAATAGCTCTTGGCTACCAAAGGGGTGAAAGATTATTGTGGATATGCAGGAATGTACAGTTGATATTAAAATCAGATTATCCATGATCTTATTGAATGATGCAGCAGGTAAAAGGGGCTGAGAGGCTTGTTCCTTGTTTGTATGTTCAAATTTGTATGTTATATCAAGCACTACAGTGTCTACCCATGTTTTATGAAAAACTTACCTACAAAAATAATGCACTTTGTCGTAATTCATAGTGGTGGAATTGGACATGGTCATATTCTTATCATCTATGTGAGTAGTCAGTGGCTTCGTTTTCCAAAACATAAAGGAAAAATAAAACCAACAATTCGCAAAGTTGCATACATCAACTTTGAGCAACTTTAACAATAAACATTGTGCCTGTTATTCGAGCAAGTAACAACTTTAAGCATCAATAAATTATAAATCATTCCATTAGATAGTCTCATGTACATGTAGACTTTTAATCTAGCATCCTTGTCAGCAGTTGGAAATATTAAGTTTTAGAATGCGTCTTCTTTTTGGAACATCAAATATCAATAATTGTGAGTGTTCCAAGGGTTGTGACTGCATAGTGTTGGTTGACATTTCTAATGGTGGTGAGAGGTAGAATTATAGAGTTAAAACTTTGGTTTTTCCATTGACTGATGAAATGAAAGTTGGTGCAGAATTTCCTGAAACGGCACAAATCAGCAAACCTTACAATAGTTTGTCCATCGAGCAAAACCTAAATTTCTTGAGGATCCCATCAGCATACCTTAGAAAGTGAAGAACAGCATTAAAAAAAAAAGCACACAACAGGCAAGCAACTTGAACCTGAGGTAAGTGGCAAAGTTACACCAGATCCCTTCTTTAAGTCCCTCCTTGTGCATGCAATCTGACATTTGAAACCACTGAACATTCCTTATGTAATCACGGAAATTATAAATTTTTTAATGCAAACTGTTTTGATGTTATACTGATGCAGTCAAAGATACAAATAAAAGGTACCAGTGAGGAGAAATCAAAATAAACTCGAACATAATCAGAAAAGATTTTATGAAAACACCAGAAATATATAATTTTTACATTCTTTTGCACCCATATATAGCTGCAAATTTAAAATCTGTTCATAACTGTTACAAACTGTTATACATGGCAACAGAACTCATTTTTAATGAGGAGCGTAAGTTTCACAAAAATGTCACAACAAAGAAGAAATTTGGGTGCAACATTAAAAATTGCAATGAGTCACATGTGTCTGAAATTCTTCGATCTTTCTTTCATTTTGAAATTTGTTCTATGCTGAACGTACAGTACCAATTTTCAAGGAATTCCAAACCATACTGACTTACTTTATTCAGAGTTAATATTTCTGTTTACATCCTGTTTTTATATTTGAAAATCACCTTTTGACACATGCCCATTTTTAAAAGGACCATTATTTGCATTGCATCGAATTCATTAAATAGTCCTAAATTGAGCTTTGAAAATAATGCTATTCCCAAAGATGAGAACATGATTAGAATTCAATATTTTTAGAAAATCAACAGGTAAAAACAGCATGATAATTTGACTCTGATAGCTATTAATGGCTTGCCTAACTTCATTTGTCCTCCTGATTGTTGCCTGACTGTGAAGTGACCAGGGATTCAGTGCTGCATTCCCTCTTTGTCTTATTTCTAGTGAAGGCCAATAAGGAAATGCTATTTTTCCTGTAAAGAAGTCATACACTCCATGTAACGGATATGCACAGGGACATGATTGACATCAGGAGTTCAGTCCACAGGGATTGAAACGCAGCAACTTATATCTCAATATTCCATGGTGCATCATATTTTCGTATTAGAGAGAAGCTCTTCAGCAAGGCAGTAGTATAGTTTGTGGTCTGCAACAACATGTTGAACAGCAATACTGGCCAAAATAAATTATTTCATCTCAAAACAGTGACATAAAAAATTGTTTTTACCCCCGTGTAGCAAGCAGCTCATGGCGTCCTTTCTGATTAAGTAGTATTAGCACACTGCTGGAGGAAATTCCTGTAATCTACCAGTCTTACCCCATATGGAAGAGGAGGTATTTTTGTTCTTAGATTGCAAAGCCATTCCTTCATTGTCTTCTTCTGAATGCATTTGAGTGTGCAAGCTGTCAGAGTCAGGATTTGCATACGATTCTTCTACCAGGTCAGAGTTTGGAACCATTTTTGCTTTAAACAAAACAGCACTTCCCTTGGCAAATATACTATTGTTTTCTGATGGAATTTCAGTCAATGGAATTACAGTCATGGCAGATTCTTCTTTTGCTGGTGCAGCAACCAAAGGTGCTTCATCCTTTGATAAAACGTTAGTCTGATCTGAACATTTTTTTCTCAAAATGGTAACGTTAGTTACAGAGTTGTTGAAGGTATTCACAATAGGTACCTTACAGTCTGGCGGGGTACCATTCCACTCTTGGGTTGACTTCTTGCATCCCTTAGAGCTCAGCTTGTCCAGTTGACGAGCTTTGAGCAGGGGAGTTGGGAATACTGTTCCTTGGAAAATGCGATAGACGTACCTGGAAACGAAAGCCAAAATTTGAGCTTTATTTAGCATTTAGGCTTATTAAATTGAATATGTAGTAGTATCAATGCATGGTGACCGTTTCCATCAGGTGCAACATTAAAATGAAAAAATCCAGAATAGACACCCAACCTGTAGTGATTACCACTCCCACATCTGATTTTAACATTGAAGGAATGAGAAACAGGGGACCATCTTTTCCTAGAAGGCAGATCGATTGTTGAAAAATTAAGAAGGTTGCATACTTCGATTTTTAATCCACTTTGGCCAGATTACCAAGGAAACAGGAAGTCTGTTCCTCCTTCATTTGTGAAGTGCCATTTTCGGATGAACCGAAGAAATTATACCTTGCTCTTTACTTTGGCGGGAGAGGAGAATGCTTTGAAATTATAAGAAATAAAATCAATGATCAGGACACTGGTAATCATGATGGACATCTACGGTCAGGGATGGGGCAGGTGTTGCGGAAGGGTCATGCAAATGGTGTGGAATGGTGAAGGATGTTTACAGGTTAACTTGTTGGAATTGATGCATTCTGCATTCTGACTTACAGTCATAGAGATATATATACAGCACAGAAACAGAATTTGTTGGGGCATTAGTGTAACTACTGTCTATGTTTTCTGAATTAAATATTACTGACTGCTAATTGTGCAGGCTAATTGCCATTAGAACATACATGGTCATCCTTCAAAATATTCTATACTGAGACTGTCTCCTTGCCACAGTGCTGTTTGAGCTCAAAGGCTCAAAAGTGCATACTTAACTAATTATCTAAAAACATGGATGTCATCTACACCTGGGGTTTAAAATAAGTGGGGGTTTTATTTTATATCGTGCTTTAAAATACAATAAATAAGATATAGAGCATTTACAAAGCAGGTTTTTTTTTGTCCATTTTTAAGTCATTTTTAATTACGTTTGCATTTCATTTGTGCTCTGCCCAAAGATAGGCCCTTGGCCCATTCTCAGTTCAAGCTTCACCCTTAGCCATTTGGCAGTTTTCATTGTTGGTGCTTTGCCATTGTCTTTAAATCCCAGGTCCAGGGAGGAGGTTGGTCCCAAGTTTAACACAGCCAGAAAAGGAATCAAACACACACGTTGTCATTTTTCTGCAAGCCATCTAGCCAGCTGAGCTACAACCTTCATACGTTATGTTCTAAAATGCAGAGAACCATGTATTGCTTTTAAGCGAGACTGTATATCTGTATTATACATGCGATGAAGGTTGTTTTAGCTTCATTTGGAGTTCTGAGAGTGCTGGGTTATCTGGAGTTTGTTAACATGCATTTAGATGAAGCCTTTAAGGTACCCTTGAAGCAAATAGTTCAATATTTACAAAAAGACAGACAGAAAAACAATTGTGAAGTTGAGCTACGAGATTAAAAAAAACAGAATACCTAGCCGCTGACTTGCTTTTAGAGCCACAGTAGATAGTATGGAATTGAATAATTATAATGCCATTAAGTGTCACGGAGAGGTTGTGAGATTTGTTGGATATGGTATTGCCCGGCACTGGTGTGGTGATTTGTAACTTGCTGCTTATTAGCCTAAATGTGAATGTTGTTTAATTTGCTAGTTTAATAAGATTCTATAGGTATGCTTCATTAGAAGCAAATAAATGTTGCAAGTGTATCATTTTGTTTGAAAAGTATTCATTTTCTAATAACTAAGCAAAATGTTTTCCAGATCAATATATTGTTCAATTGGTGGCAGCTTACCTCTTGGTAATGTGTTTTATTTGTAACTGAAGGGCAAATTGGACAAAATAAACATAACTTCCAGCTTTATTATGAAGTTGCAAAACTTCAGTCTTCTCAAGACCAAAAGATAAACAATGAATCCAAGTCTAGGTGAACTAACACCCCTGAACCTTCCTACAAAAGCAAATTACAGCAGATGTGAAAAAAGTGTGAAATAAAAACAAACATGCTAGTGAAATTCAGTATGCCTGGCAGTATATATGGAGAGAGAAATAGTGTTAACTTTTTGAGTCTGATACAATATTTTTCAGAATGTTAACTGATTCTCCAGCACTTTCTATTTCTTTTTTTCTGTAATTTCCCACCCTCCTCTCTTTGACATTCAATGGTATTTTATTTTCTGAGTTGTCTGCTACCCATTGGAGATCCAGAAGCAGGTCAGAGGCTAAGTATTCTGAGGCAAATAACTTGCCTCCCAACTTCCCGTAGCCTTTCTACCACTTTCAAGGTACAATTGAGATACCTGATGAAATATTTTTTACTTACTTGGCTGAGTGCAGTGCCAGGAAGTTAAAAACTAACACAAAGCAGCCCATTTGATTGGCAGCCCCTACACTTTCCTAAACATCCTGTACATCCATAACTGCACTAGAGCAACTCACCAAAGTTTCTTTGGTGTTGCATTCCAAATTTACTACCTTTATTACCTAGAACAAGGCAGTAATTGCTTGGGAATACCACCCCTTGCAAGGTCCCTCCAATCATCCAGCATCCTTACTTGCAACGATATAACTGTTCCTTTGTCATTACTAAGGGGAGGCGAGACTAACTGTCCTTGATATTAAGGTAGTATTTCACAAAGCATGGCATCAAGGAATCAAACCAGAGTCAATCGGAATTGGAAAAAACTCTCTACTGGTTGGAATCATACATGGCACACAGGAAAATAGCTGTGCTTGCCAGAGACGAATTGTCCCGCCTTCAGGATATCATTGCAGCAGATCCTCGGTGTAGAGTTCTAGGCTCAATCGTCTTCAGCTGCTACATCAATGACCTTCTGTCCATCATAAAGTAGAAGTGGGGAAGTTGCTGATGTTTGCACAGCGTTTAACAACACTTGTGACTTCTCAAGATACTGAAGCAATCCATGTCCATATGTAGCAAGAGCTGTACAACGTTCAGGCTTGGGTTGACAACTGGCAATATTTTACTGAATGAATATCATTTGCACAAGAGGCAGACAATAACCATATCCAATAAGAGAAAATGTAATCATCAGGCCACGTCATTCATCAGCATTGCTATTGTTGAATCCTCCAATATCAATATCCTGAGAAATGCCACTGACCAGAACTAAGCTGAATTAGCCATATGTGGCAACAACAGCAGGTCAGTGGCTAGGAGCTCTGTAGTAAGTAATTCCACTCTCGTCTCCCCAGTACTTGTCAACCATCCAAGGGACAAGAGAGTGATGGATAACCCCCAATTTTCTAGGATGAGTGCTGCTCCAACAACATTCAAGAAGCTTGAAGACAAAGCAGCCTGCTTGACTGAGACCCCATTTACCACCTTTAGCATTCACTCCCTTCACCATCAATGCACAGTGGCAGCAATATATATAATCTACAATAGTTCACTGCAACTGTTCATCAGGTGTTCTCAGATAGCACTTCCAAGCCCGCAATCTCCATCAGCAAGAAGGATAAAGGTAGTAAAAGCATGGAACAAGATCACCTGCAAGTTACCTTCCAAGCCACACACCATTCTGCCTTGGATCTAAATCACTCTTCCTTCACCATTGTTGGGTCAAATCCCTGGAACTCCATTCCTAGCAGCACTACAAGTGTCCCCACAAAAGTGAAGGTCACCACAATCAGATGACCATAGGCTGCTGTCTCAGTAGAGAGGTGTCTGGAGGAGAGTTTAACCTGAGAGTTACCACAGCTCAAGTAAATGGCAACAGTGAGAAGGCAGGCCTTCAAAGTGATCGCAGCTCATATGCAAATTCAGTCTGTTGTGTTGGCATTACTCTGCTTCGCAAACCAACTGTCCAACTAATTGAGGTAACCAAACCAAGAAATGAGCGGTTCAAGGAGGCAGCTCAGTATCACATTGTCCTGGACAATTAGTGATAGGGCTAATGATGCCCACGTCTCATAAATGAGTATAAAGTTCTGGAACATCATTCTTGACAAAGTGGGTTAGTTACATGGAGACATGCAGAAGTTTAAGATGACAGCTTCTTCATCAGAACCTTCTCAACGACACATTAGCTGAGCATTAAGCTAGCGACACTCATATTTTAAAATTAATTTTAAGTAAACTTGTGCTATCATCCACAACTAATTTTGATACAAGATGGCAAAGAGAGACTCACTTTTTATAAGCACACATTATAGCTCTACTATTTTAGGCAGTAGTTGACAAACGGGATTACCATTTCAAAATACTAAGTGCTGATGCAAAAGAGTGAATGATAACCTGTGGCAAACAGTATGCGTATACATGATTTTGAGTTACATGTCGTTCAGCATTTTAATTCAAACGTCTTGCAGATTTGACTACAGCTCCACAGGATTATAAATTTAACATTTTCACAATGTTCATCATGTCCTACATCAAAACAAAACATAATTGGTTTCACTGGCATCTGGTGGCTATGAAAAGCACAGTGCAAGTCTTTTGTTTAAATCATCAGGAGAAGGAATATTGGCTTTGACTATAAACTACGTAATTCCAGTACAGTGGATAAGAGGGTAAGATTAACAAAAACTGATAAACTTATGAATCAAACAGACCTTGCATTAATTTGGCGCCTTTCATGACTTTAGGATGTTACAAAGCAACTTACAGCTAATGAAATACTTGTGAAGTGTAACCCATTGGTGTGACGAAGGGAATGTGATGTAGGGAATGTGACAGCCAATGTGCAAACAGCCAACTGCACAACAGTGAAGTTATAATGACTAGAAAATCTGTTTTTGTGGTGTTAACAGAGGGATAAATATTGACATGGGAATAACTCTCATGCTCTTCATAAGAATACTATCAAGCAATTTCATATGTCTATCTGGCAGGGCTCTGCCCCTCAATTTGGACACCTATTAGAATACAATAGAATAGAATATCCTTTATTGTCACATGTACTCAAGTATAGAAGTACCGTGAAAAGTTTACAATGATGCCTCTCATGGTGCCATCTTAGGTACAAAGTACCTAAGCACAAATCTTTGAAAAGACGAATAAAAAAGAAGTTACATTACTTTACAGTGATTCACAGTATAAGTTAGAAATAAACAGAGAATATCTAACCACTTGAAACAGAATTGCACTTTACCTGGGGAGCAAAGCTATCACTGTAGCGAGGATGCAGACCAAGTAGAAGAGTGGGTCTGACATTTGTTGCTCCATGATCCAATATGGATTTGATGGATGGTTGCAGTTTATACAAGTTCCTCCAAAAGCCAGTGCAAACACAAAGTAAAGTAAAGCACTGCCTCCCATTATAGCCCAATGAATCCATGTCTGAAATGAAAATAAATCATTAGAAAATTAACTGATGTTGGTACCTCTCTTAAAAAAAATCAAAACCCTAAAACTTTGCAAGTGATTATTTTTAAACAATTTGCATTGATTGTTATGGTATAATTAAATTCTTATTGCGTTTAGCAGCACGTGTTAAAAGGTATGAGTTTGATCCTTTAATGAGGCATATACCAAAGCCTACAGCATCTTCCAAACCCTTGATCGCTATCAGATAGAAGAACAAGGGTAGCAGCAACATTCCCTTTAAGGTGTGCAGTTGCACCTGCACATAGCTGCTCCAAGGATCTGCATACAGCATGCCAATTGCAGTGCTGACTTCTGGTTTTAGAGTTGATGCTGCACACAGGCCTCGGAGGCCTGCGTAGCACCTGCAAGTTCCGTCCCAAACCACACACCATCTAAACATGGAACTTTACCACCGTTCATTCACAGTTGTTCAGTCAGTATCCTGGACCTCCCTCCCCAACAGCACTGTGGATGCACCTATATGGACTGTAGCAGTTCAAGGTGACAGTTGTCTATCACTTTCTCAAGGAATGTTAGGGATGGGCAACAAATGTTGGCCTGCTGGTGATCTCCACATGCTGTGAACGAATGAAAAAAATGCAAGAATGCCAAATTTTAAAGGATCACAACTATGTTTAATTATAAGGAAAAAAAAGGGCTGATCGGCAAGTAAGTCAATGCTGCCCGAGGTACTGCGATGGATAAAGCAGCTAAGAACTAAAGGCTTTTAAACGCCTGCACAATTCAAAAAAGAAACAAGATTTGAAGATATTCCTTTTCTTGCAGAAAATAGATCTCTGCTTATATTTATCAAGTGACATGCTCGACTATTCATTTTAAATTGATTGTTAATAGCTATGTAAACTTTGTTACATTCACTTCCATTGTGTCTAAAGTGGCCCACGAGCAACACATTCTTTTAGCTCAATTTGTCCCCTTTAATTTTTGAGTGCTGCAATTTTAAAATAACCAGCAGCAAAGCCTTTGTTTTAAACAAGATCAAATCTTAGTTAATTACATAACTATTACTGAACGTTAAATAAAAAAGCAATACAGTTAATAGACAAAACAAAAGTAAAAATGGATAAAGGAATATAATAAAGATCAGAATGAGATTAATATGTTATCATTACTTGTCTATTTCTTGCTTGCGCTCATAGAATTAAACAGTACAGAAGAGGCCCTTCATTCCTCAAGTCTGTACCACCAAATCAGTATTAAATCCGGACCAGTCCTAATTTCCAGCACTAAACCCATGGCTTTCAATAGTCTTCCTCTTTACAAAATGAAAGTTTCTCTCACACGTGGACTGAACAGAACAGCGTCTGGGAGGAACTAAAGGTTCCTTTATTTCACTTCAATAACACTGCAAATTCTGGCCTTTGGTAATTTGGTTCAGTACAGCAGTGCTTTGCTGTTTTTTCCTTTTACTCTCCCTCTCTGATGAGAATCTGTCCCTAAGGCAATCTCTGAGTCCTTCTTGGCATCCTGTACAGAATGGTGCCTCAAAGTCTGTCTCATACTGATAAAAACTTTAGATGTCTGCCACATTAATTTTGGATGAATCACTATTCCATGAAGCAAAGTGAATGTGTATGTATGAAGTTTGCACATTTTCCCTGTGTATACGTGGGTTTCTGCTGTGTGTGCAGGTTAGGTGGATTGGCCACGCTAAATTGTCTGTAGTGTGCAGGATGTGTAGGCTAGGTGGACTAGCCATGGTAAATGTGGGGTTATGGAGATAGGGTAAAGGGCTGCGTCTATGTGGAATGCTCTTCGGAAGGTTGATGTAGATTTGATGGGCCGAATGGTAGGTATTCCATTAAATTCTATTATTTGTGGTTGAGATGTTGAGATGACACATGAGCCAGTTTGCCTTTCTGGCTGAAGTGAATTATATGTAATTCCTCAGTGGAATAATGTAATTTACTGTGAGATTAGGCTTTGTTGTAAAATATACGTTAGAGAGAAGTTATCATGACAACCGGACTCAAGGTTGTTCCGCAAGGGTTGCTCAGTCATAAAATCAAATCTAGAACTGGACATTTTTCTTTCTGTTTGTTTATGCTGTTATTCCATTTTTGAGGTACTTTGCTAGAGTAACTTGTGTATTTTAGGTATTTATCATGGCCAAAGTAGCAGTCTTTGGCCCTCTTGTGAGTTTCCATCATAAACAGTGTCACATACAGAATCTGTGTTTCTTTTTACGTTTGTAGCCAACATATGTACTTGTAAAAGGTGTTTGTTTTCATACATGTAGGGTGAGTGCCCCAATTAAATAATTTCCGGTGTAAGATTTTTGATAATTTTAAGATGAAGAAGGTTATTCACACTTGCCCTCTCACCCACTCAGCTCGCTCTCTCAAAAATTAATTGCAGATGAAAGTAAAACAATACAGTTATAACTTATAATTATTCCAATCTCATTTGTGGCAGTCCTACGGATTCTTAGATGAATATGATACTTGAAAGTTTAAGTAAAAATCTGGTAAAGCAAACTATTTGGTAAGCTGTGGGGTTTCTTGCAGTCAAATGTCCAGCAAGTTGGTTGAAATTGGAAAATGTTGGTGGGAGAGATTCTCTTTGTTTAAGTCTTCCACTTTCATGGTACTTTGACTACTTTAATGGCTTGCACCTAATTTAATGGTTTTTCGTGGAATTCTGCCTGTAAGGAACTTCTGCTGGAATCAGCTGCCAACAAAAATGGCTTCCTCATTATGTGACTTCCACAAATTTGAAGTCCTTTTTCCAAACTAAGGGTGATACATTTATACATCTTGTATTCATATTTATGACAACTTGAGATTCACCCAATCTAGTTTGTATGAGAGCAAGCATCATAATATAATGAAAAGCTAACAGAGTCCATTCACATGCACCTTATATCATTCTAAGTTTCAAGGTATTTTTTCATCTATGCTGAAACGAAGCGGATAGGCTGATATTGTTGACAATCCATCTTTAAACAAAGGGATTTATGAATTTCCCTGATGGGTATTAAATTGTGGGCTTTTTTTAAAAATTCATATGTGGGTGTGCTGGCCAACATTTATTGCCTGTCCTTAGTTGCCCTTAAAAAGGCTGTGGTGAGCTGCCTTCTTGAACTGCTGACCCAATGACAGTAAAGAAATAGTGGTATATTCTAAGTCAGGATGGCAAGTGGAAAATTAGGTAAGAAAGGTTCAGCAGCTCTAATGTGGAAGAACAAAATACACTTACTAGGACAGAAGAATTCAGGGGATTGTGGCAGTAAAGGGAAAGACATAGAGAGCGTGAAGGTAAGGCAGAAGATAATACTATCCCTGCAGACTTTGTGACCCCATTATCAGGCCAAATGAGGGTCAGAAGTCTGCACTGTTTGTGGAACAGTCACCCGGTTATGATTTTCTCCAAATTTGCCAAATAATTCATAGGGGGTGGACTCTCATTCAATTAAGGACAGTAGACAGGCGTTAAAGCTCGGAGGTGGGGTGTTCCAAGAGGAGACCTTTCAGCATTGAAGCAGCAGGTTACCTTGACAGATAAATTAGAGAAGACATAGTCACGTTGAGGCTTCCTCTCTCCAATGTTTTGGGGAATTAAAAATTAAATTTAAAATAAAAAACAACACCCACTCTTAGCAGCTAAGCCACCAGCGCCTTCAACTGAAGCCAGGTACTCAGAGAGAGCTACTAAACCTCCTGGAGCACTGTCCCCTTGTCAGCCTCTAACAATGGTCCTTAGTAGGCCTTTAAGGATCTGTGTTAACTGCCCACCACACTTGATAGGTAACTCTGATCAATTTCCTCTTATCTTTGGGAATTTGTTTCAGTGGAAAGGTGGGATAGTATAAGGAAACTGGCATGCCAATGAGCTGCATAAATTTATGTGCCCACCACTACTGTATTAGCCCTTGCTGAGGCCTAAAATGCAGCCCAGAAAATCAAAAATCACAATACTGTCGAACAGAATTCTTGTACTGAGATGATGGCTTTTGGGAGTTTGTCCGCTTTCTATATTACCTTAAAAATTTTATTCAGTTGGAGTTTGTGTAGGGTGGAACTGGGAGATCAGCGAAGAGAATATTAGAGAAGTTAAGTTGTAACGTGATGAAGGCATTAATGAGAACATGCTCATGAGTAGCTTAATTCTTTTAAGAACTGCAGTAAATTTTCTGCATCAAATATTAACCAGATCACTTATAATCACTCTGGGGATATTATGAATGATATTAGTTTGTATAATTCAGGTAGTTTTATGAATGATATTAGTTTGTATAATTCAGGTAGTTTTGTGAAACATATATTTTGCATACTCTTAGGAGTAGGAAATTAGGATGAGTATCTAACTTTCTAATACTTTGTTGAAATGTTATGAATTCAACATTATGTTATAAGCAGAACACATGGAGTTACATCCAATCAAGGAATATACATAGCTCTATTGTACTTACCAAAGTGTTGCCTTCTATCATTAAGTGTAAAAGGATAACGCACAGTATGGCAGTATTGATAGGTGTTCCGAATGAGTAGATATCCATATCTGAGCCAAAGTAAGTCTGAAAAGAAAAGGATAATTTTAAGATATAACTTGTCAGAGCCATGCTAAAGTGTGCAACAATTTACAGTTTTTAATTTTTAAGAATGCCTGTGAATTTAGAATCATAGAATGACTGCAGAACTGAAGGAAACCATTCAGCCAGTCTTAGTCACAGAGAACAGCTATTCATCTAACGCCTCTCTTCTGCTAATTACCCCTAGCTTTGCAAATAGCCAGAGGGTTATTTAATTGAGAACAACAGGTGAGCTCTTGAATCTGGATGAACAACAAGAGGTCCTCCAGAACTGACGAAAATTGCAAAATAAACTTTAACCACAGTAGGAAATCCTAACTAACTTACAGCTAAAACAAATACATCACACATTGCAGTATTCTAATAAATGACCAATTTTAGAACATACCTAATCCCAAACTAATTTACATTTAGCAAATGTGCTCCTTATTAATACTTCTTGTTCCTTAGTGCATAAATAACAGTTCAAACTGTCCCTCTCCTTTACAGCTTTAGCACTAACAGGTACTAACAAAGAAAACATGCAAAGCTGAATTCTAACTCATTTATGTTTGATACTATAATTCATGAGTAGAACATTAATTATATAGGAACAGTTCATTACAGTTAATGTTTCATATATTACCAATATTGAAATTTATATAATCTGCCCAAAATTATTTTTCTGTTAAAGTTACTTTCCAGCTTTTTCTCTTTTCTATCTTACACCTCTCTGCTCTTCTTCAGCAATTGAGAAGATACTACGCTCTGGTTTACTTAAGCAGTCTTCTCCCCAACTCCCTCACTATGCTCATTTCTATTAACTTATGCTTTCTATCTTCTTTCCTCTGTTTCAGGCCCACAACCCATTCTGGACTCCTTTGTTTATAAAAAATGCAGAAAACATTCAACATTTTGCAAAACAAGAAGTATATTTATCTAAAATTATCCAATTACCACAGTGATCCCCCACCCCACCAAGTTGACTCACATGCACCCTGATGAACCTCATCAACTGTCTCAATCTCATTATCAAATAAATCTCAGCTCTCTGGTAGTCAGCCAGCTGTGAACTTTTTGCATCTTGCACAATCTCAGAATCTTCAGCAGGAAGCAGATCCTCAGGTCCATCTTCAAGTCTAACTGAGACTTGATGTGAAGAAACATGTCATTTTACAGCTGACTGAACATAGATCAGCACTAAAACAAAGAGCTTCCAGTGGCCCTATGAAGAGCTTGAAGGTTCTTAAATCATCAGACAACATTGAAAAACCCTTCTTATCCCTCATGATTCCTGAATAAGAAAAGTACGTAATTGATTAGGAATGAAAGCGTTCAATCAATAATCAATTTATCAAAATTGTTTATTTGTCCACATCTCAAAGAAAACAGTCTATTAATTCACTAAATTGTGTAAGAGAAGCTGGACCCAGATTTCAATTTTGATAGTGACAGAAAGTACATATTAACAGACTGGCTGCCACATACCACTCAATTTTTCTTCCCATTGCTAGGGGTTTACCCCATTTGACAAAAAATGTAATAGAGAAAACAAAATATAATAGATATTACATGTAGGGTCACTTACAAAATATGGAACAAAGAAGCAAACAAGACTTTGATAAAAGGCATCCAATATACTGATCCAAAACGTTGATGATAAGTAGGCCTATAACAAATACAAAGTAAAGTCAGCAGAACTATTTATTATTATTAATTGTTAAAAATAACTGTGAACAAAATGTATGCCACCATTGTAATTCTCATCTTGATAGTCCACTTGTAAAATGATAATCAATGGAAGAGTATTACTGAGCTTAGAGAAGAATAAGCCAATTTTCAATTCGTACTTAAAGATGCAACACACTCATTGATGGGAGGACAGTCTTCATGGCAATAGGGCTCTACACTTTCAACAAAATTAATGATGTGAAACTGAATTATCAAAAACATAAGTCAATACATTTTCAAACAGAATCAATTCTAATTGAATTCATTCAAATTTATTTGCAAATGTTCAAATAGGCCAAGTTGGGCTTGTTTTCACCTGTGCCTTGCATCACAGAACGTTACAGCACAAGAAACAATTTTGGCCCAGTTTATTTGTACCAATTTCTTGAAAAAATAACTTTGAAAAAGATACTTCTTCACTTTCCCTTAAATGTTTATTTTCAAATTTATATTCACTTTCCATGAGGCTATTATGGATTTAGCTCCCACACCATTATTCCCAATACTAATAATCCAAGCAACTTGGTTATGAAAGATTTAACTGAAGGCTGGTATTGTTACTGTTGTACAACTGCAAAATTATTTCCAATGAATTCAAGTCAAATTTACGAAGTGCTCAGGGCACACCTCCACTTGGCTTTCCAGGCACTTCAGAAATTTACACTGTGTTTAAGAATGTAGAATATAGAACATAGAACAGTACAGGCCCTTCGACCCACGATGTTGTGCCGACCTATTATCCTACTAAGATCAAACTATCCTGCATACCCTACATTTTACTATCCTCCATGTGCCTACCAAGAGTCGCTTAAAAGTCTCTAAACTTTCTGACTCAATTACCACTGCCGGCAGTGCATTCCACACACCCACCACTCTCTGTGTAAAGAGCCTATCTCTGACATCTCCCCTATACCTTCCTCCAATCACCTTAAAATTATGCCCATTGTAATAGTCATCTCCACCCTGGGAAAAAGTCTCTGACTATTCACTCTATCTATGCCTCTCATCATCTTGTACACCTCTATCAAGTCACCTCTCATCTGTCTTCGCTCCAATGAAAAAAGCCCTAGCTCCCTCAACCTTTCCTCATAAGACCTGCCCTCCAGTCCAGGCAGCATCCTGGTAAATCTTCTCTACACCATCTCTAAAGCTTCCACAAACTTCTTATAATGAGGTGACCAGAACTGAACTTAATATTCCAAGCGTGGTCTAACCAAGGTTTTATAGAGCTGCAGCATAACCTCGCAGCTCTTAAACTCAATTCCCCTGCTGATGAAAGCCAACATACCATATGCCTTCTTTACAACCCTATCAACTTTGGTAGTGACTCTGAGGGATCTATGGATGTGGACCCCAAGATCCCTCTGTTCCTCTAGACTACCAAGAATCCTGCCATTAACCCTGTATTCTGCATTCAAATTAGTCTTCCAAAATGAATCACTTCACACTTTTCTGGGTTGAATTCCATCTGCCACTTCTTTGCCCAGCTCTGCATCCTGTCAATGTCCTGTTGCAACCTACAACAGCCCTCCGTGCTATCCACAACTCCACCAACCTTCGTGTCATCGGCAAACTTACCAACCCACCCTTCCACTTCCTCATCCAAGTCATTTATAAAGATCACAAAGAGCAGAGGTCCCAGAACAGATCCCTGCGGAACTCCACTGGTCACCAAGCTCCAGGTTGAATATTTTCCATCTACTACCACTCTCTGTCTTCTATTGGAAAACCAGTTTTGTATCCAGATAGCCAAATTTCCCTGAATCCATGCCTCCTTACTTACTGAATGAGCCTACCATGTGGAATTTATCAAATGCCTTGCTAAAATCCATATACACCATATCCACTGCTCTGCCTTCACCAATATGTTTTGTCACATCCTCAAATAATTCAATAAGGCTTGTGAGGCATGTTTTGCCCCTCACAAAGCCATGCTGACTATTTCTAATCAAACTGTGTTTTTCCAAATAATCATAAATACTATCTCTCAGAATCCTCTCCAATAATTTGCCGACCACAGAAGAAAGACTGACCGGTCTGTAATTCCCAGGATTATCCCTATTCCCTTTCTTGAACAAGGGAATGACATTTGTCACCCTCCAATCATCTGGTACTACTCCAGTGGACAGTGAGGAGGCAAAGATCATCACCAAAGGGGCAGCAATCTCTTCCCTTGCTTCCTGTAGTAATCTTGGGTATATCCCATCTGGCTCAGGGGACTTATCTATGCTCAGGTTTTTCAAAATTTCTAGCACATCCTCCTTCCTAACATCAACCTGTTCGAGCATATCTGCCTGTTTCATGCTGTCCTCACCAATGTCAAGGTCCCTCTTACTGTTGAATACTGGAGCAAAGTATTCATTAAGGACCTCCCCTACCTCCTCTGACTTCGCGCACAAGTTCCCTCCACTATCCCTGATTGGACCTACCCTCACTCTGGCCATCCTCTTGTTCCTCACGTAAGCATAGAACACATTGGGGTTTTCCTTGATCCTACCTGCCAAGGATTTCTCATACCCCCTTCCAACTCTCCTAAGTCCATTCTTCAGTTCCTTCCTGGCTACCTTGTAGACCTCTAGATACCTGACCAATCCTTGCTTCCTCAAACTTAAGTAAGCTTCCTCCTTCCTCTTGACTAGATATTCCACATTTTCTGTCTCCCAGTCTGTTCCTCAGTGTCTCTGTTGCTATTGGGGGGGGGGGGGGGTCTATAGAAAACTCTCAATAAAGTGACTGCTCCTTTCCTGTTTCAGACTTCCACCGATACTGACTCAGTGGACAAACCTCCTCCACGACCTCCCTTTCTGCAGCTGTGATATCATCCCTGATTAGCAATGCCCCTCCCCCACCTCTTTTACCTCCCTCCCTATTTCTTTTGAAACATCTATACCCAGAACATCCAACAACCATTCCTGCCCCTGTGTTATCCAAGTCTCCATTATGGCCACAACATCGTAGTTCCAAGAACTGATCCATGCTCTAAGTCTGTCACCCTTATTCCTGACACTTCTTGAATTAAAATAGACATACCTCAACCCGTTGCACTGACTGCAACTTTGCCCTATCAATTGCTCATCCTTCCTCACAGATTCTCTGCTTGCTGTTATCTTCCTGTACACCGGCTACCCCATCCTCTGATCTGTAGCTCCGGTTCCCACCCCCTGCCAAACTAGTTTAAACCCTCCTGAAGAGCTTTAGCAAACCTCCCGCCCAGGATATTGGTGCCCCTCCAGTTCAGGTGCAACCCTTCCTTCCTGTACAGATCCCACCTTCCCCAGAAGGTATCCCAATGATCCACATATCTGAAGCCCTCCCTCCCACACCAGCTCATTGACCACGTGTTCAGCTGCACTTGCTCTCTATTCCTGGCCTCACTAGCCCGTGGCACCGGTAGTAATCCTGAGATTACTACACTGCTTGAGTTGGCTTTCAGCTTCCATCCTAACTCTTTTTATTCATCTTTCAGGTCCTCATCCAGTTTCCTAGCTATTTCATTGGTACCTGATGTGTACCACGACTTCTGGCTGCTCTCCCTCCCACTTAAGAATCCTCTAGACTCGTTCCGAGACATCCCTGACCCTGGCAGCAGGAGGCAACATACCATCTGGGAGTCTCGCTCGGTACCACAGAATCTCCTGTCTGTTCCCCTAACCATTGAATCTCCTATCACTATTGCTCTCCTATTCTCCCCCTTTCCCTTCTGAGCCACAGAGCCAGGCTCAGTGCCAGATACCTGGCTGTTTACTTAAATGTGCTGGGAGAATGAGTGCCCCTCCACCCTTTTGTCACAGATACACAATTTAACAGCTGGAGGTGAGCCCTGCCCATTAACACAAATGCACTAAAATCTGTGCTCATCAGTTGTCTATATAAAACACAAATCATCTTTTGGAGTTGAAAGAGATAGGGGAGAATCAGCATGGAAAGAAAGTAAACAGTCTCTATGGAACTGATCGGTCTTATGGACACACCTGCCACTGAAAATTCATGTCCTTGTCAGCATTCTATAGCTGCTGACTAATGGGCTACTTTCAAAGAGGAGATGGTTTGGGCATAGTCAAGCAACATTCCCTCAAAAGCAAAAGGTAGGGCAAGTAAATTGAGAACTCCCGGGATAAAAAATGAAACAGAAATTAGGGTAAGAACAACTGCGTTTCAGACTTGTGTTGGGTAGGAAATATAGTTGAGAACCAGACTGACTATAGAAGGTTCAAAAGTGAAAAAAGAAAAAGCAATTGACAGCTAAGGGGAGTCTACAGTCTTGTGTAGGCACATAAATAGCAAGGATGGCAAAAGGAGGATTAAGACTGATTAGGTACCAAAAAGGATTTACACATGAACAGGAGCATCACTGAGGCATTAAATGAATACTCTGCATGTGTCTTTATTAAGAAAAAAAGCCACCATCTAGGCCATTGAGAAAAATAACAGAAGGGTTCAAAAATGTTAACAAGAATTGTTATTGGATAGAATTTCTATATTTGACTAGCCCGGACCTGGATAAGATGCATCCAAAGATAGTGAAGGAAGAGAAAGTGGAAATTGTGGTGGCATTGGCCACAAACCTTTGGCCTCATTTAGATAGACTCAGGGGTGGCAACAATGGACTGGAAGATTGCAAACATTACTCTGATACAAGTGTAAGCTCTTCAATTACAGGCCGGTCAGCTTAATTTTAATGGTAGGGAAACTTCAAGAAACAATAATTTGGTATTGGATTAATAGTCACATGAATAAATATGGGTTTATTTATAGTCACATCTAATAAGCATAAGCAGAGTCAGAATGGATTTCATAAGGGAAAATCATGTTCAACTAATTTGCTAGACTTTTCTGAAGAAGCAACAGACGGGGCTGGATAAAGGACAGTATTGTGTGTCGCCTTTGGACGTTGAAAAGTCCACGTTTTTCCAAAATATTCTCATGATTCTTTTCTCTGTTGGCTGATAGCTTTCAGATATATCACACTAAAATTCCAGGGTAAAAGACTCAAACTGACCAGAACATTGTCCAGTTTCAGCATTGTGGCCTTAAACCTGAATGCTGTTATCGAACACACACTCATTATTATGTTTGCTTGGAGAATTGTTGTTCTACAATGATTCTACTTGGTCAGAGTTGAGTCTTTCTGCTTCCTGATTAGTTTGACACTATTCATTAAATATGTTCCCCAGTTTTCCTCCAATGCTTTAATGATCATGACTATATGACTAAAATGACATATAGCAACATTAAACAGCTTCACTATATAGGCCACTTCTCAACAACAACTAGAGATTAGCCACAAATGTTAGCTTTGAGAGTGATCCTCACATCCCATGAACATATGAACAGACAAACAATTATACAAATGAGGAGGAGGAAAAGGTCATTTGGTCCCTTGAGTCAGCTCACCATTCATTCAGGCAATGAGAGTTTCACTGGTTGGGCCATATTTGATTTAATTGGGGGTTGAACTCCACATCTGCATTTACCTTGGTCAATATTCAACTCCTCTGTTAGTCAAGAATCAATAATCTACCTTAAAAGATATTTAATCACCTTTCCTTTACCACTCTTTAGAGATTAGAATTCCAAAGATTCATGACCCTCAAATGGAAAAACAAAATCCCATCGTCTCCGTCTTAAAGGGAGTCTTCTTATTTTTAAACAGCATTCCCTAGTCCTAGTCTGACCAAATAAAACTAAATTCTCAGGATTCTTTCTGTTCCCATGCAGCTACGAGTCAACTTTAGATGATTAAGTGTTTGCAGTGGAGCTGAGCCTCATGAATAAATCTATTAGGCTGATCAATTCTATTCAAAATAAAGAAAGCAGAGTGTTGCACTATACTGTTAAAGATTAATACCTCAGAATGCTGCCCACTACTGTAGAGTTCTGGTAGTTGGAGAAGAGTCTCTGCAGAAACATCTTTATCGAGGATGCCATAGATAATTGGTGGAACAGATGTGAAAAGGAGGTTAAATAAAATGAGGATCCAATAGTCAATCATTGATGTACCAGAGAATCCACAGAACAACTGGTACCAGAACAAGAGATTCACATAAGCCTAGAAAAGAAGGCATCAATATCAACATAAATGGTAGCAAATGCGGCAAGTTTCACTTTATTTACAAAGGATTGAAACTTCTGTCATTCACTGTGGTGGCAACATCAGCCATGTCTACAGACTGAACTGTGAACTGCGAATTTATATATTTCTCATTTAACTAATTTTTAATTTTTTTATGTGTTTGAATTTAAATAAACAGCTAGGTAATTTAATTTTAAATAAATTCAAAGATTACTTTATTACACAACTATTGCTGAAAGTTACAAAATAAATTTGGTACTGTGATTAGAAAAAAAGGATACAGATAAGACTAAAACCAGTTTGTTATCGTTGCAGGCCCATTAATTGCTTGAAACTTTCTCCTTCCATTATATACAGACTGAAAACTTGAAGTCAGGTTCAGCTGTTGCAAAGCCTTCTGAAGTTGAATACTTCAAGCTTGACTGGACAGGTGGAGTCAATAGCTACAGCAGGCTTTGAAAGAAAGAAAGGTTCCTTGTTCCTAGACAACAAGGTGCAGGGCTGGATGAACACAGCAGGCCAAGCAGCATCATAGGAGCAGAGAGGCTGACGTTTCGGGCCTAGACCCTTCATCAGAAAAGGGGGAGGGGAAGGGGGTTTTGAAATAAATAGGGAGAGAGTGGGAGGCGGATAGAAGAGGGATAGAGGAGAGGATAGGTGGAGAGGAAACAAACAGGTCGAAGAGGCGGGGATGGGGCCAGGAAAGGTGAGTGTAGGTAGGGAGTT